TAGCATCGTTAGAAAACTCTTAACCCTCTCTCTCTGTATCAGGAAACTCCTTTTAAAATGAGGGGGAAAAAAAGCTAAATCTTGAGAGATTTTCCTTCACAGCTTATTCTGGGCTACCTTATACATGAGTCCTCCTCTGCAAGCTTGGCAAAAATCTTCATCTGCTTCTCTTTCAAACCTAACCTCTTCTGTTTCTCATCACCCACACTCATCTCGTTTCTTCCTCAATCTCCTACCACCACCCCAAAGCCCTAGCAGAAAATGAAACACCAGCTGAATGCTGTTTGCATTCTGGCAGGCCACGGGCCACACAGCTCATCCCTGCGCTCAGAGGGCAGCAGAAGAAAGGACAAAATCACTATGGGGGAGACCATAGGCGGGAAGCACTAAAAATTACTCATCAGCACTCACACTGTCCTTCTGGGCAGGAAGCAGAGCCACCAGCATAGCTGGACTACCAGCTCTCAGCGTGGCTCAATTATGAAATACTAATGAGCTCTTCCTACTTCAGGGGAGAAGGCATTGCAGACTAGTTAGACAGGTTCGTTTTAATTCTGCTGCTTCTTCTCACACACATTAACAGTGTTTGCTGCTATAAAGTGTTCTTGGTGTTTGCAGGTAAGCCTTGTATTTAGGCTTCCTTAGCGAGGAGAGATCATAGCGAGGCATGAACACCTTTACCCATTCTGTCTTCCCCAAGATAGCAAGTTTCATCAAGGAGGAAAAAAAAATGATGAAAGTAAGGAGCAAAACGCTGCTCCTCACATCTCATCGCAGGCAGAGATGTTGCTGCAGAGAAAAGGAAGTGTTCAGGAGCCATCGCTTTCTGACTTGGGTCAATATTCCTGTGACGGAGCCTGTAAGAACAGCAACCACCGCTGACAATCCAATTCACTTAAGTTCACGGCAATGTCAAACAGAGAAACCGAAAATGAGGTAAACAGCACATCACAGGCTTTCAAACATCTCACAAGCACTTACTTGCAGTGGTACAGAACTCCCCAGCTTCACATCCAGGCGAGTGTAATGCTTGGCACATCAAGGAGCTGCCTCTCTGTACAGTGAACATAACTGCAGTACCCCAGCTCTGGGTTCCCTGGGATTTTTCCCCCCAGCGCTGCTCATTTGTAGCATTTAGCCAGCTCCGGTGCGAGATTCATTTCCTGACACAGTTGTGCTCTATTACTTCAGCAGTTTAAATGCTGAAGAACAGCAATAGGGGGAGAACTGTACACAAATTCTTGCTATACTAATATTGATTTAACAGAATAAACAGACTGCCTCGGCCTGTTCGGCACTGAAGGTTTTCTGCCACCGCAGGGATCTCAGCCCTAAGTGTGACCAGAGGCAACCTCTGAACAACCCAACTCCGTTTGCTGAAGCCACAGTGAGTCGCAGCAGGAGAAAGGCTGCTTTTCCAAGGCAGCTGTGCCTTGCAGCATCCCTCTTCTTCTCTCTTTATATTTTTTTTCACTTCTGCTTCAAGCAAATAAGAGTCATAATATAAATAAATAAATGGAAATGAAGGTTACTTGGTTGGCACCAAAACCGGCATTCCTAGGTTAGATTAAACACTTGCTCTGGCTACAGACTTCCCCTTCCTTTCTCTTCCCATGCCCTTTCCCTAAAGTTCACCTGACCTCGGGCAGACTTCGATGCTGTAAGCACTTCAGATCAGCTTAAAAACTTCACATTCACGCTTCTACACACCAACATCACACAGAAGAAACAAGGCTCCCCTTTAGCTACAGATCTACAACACTCAAAAACGGGGGAGTAAGGGTGAATTTATTCATTTCCCCCCTCCTATGCCTGTAATTTACAATGATGTTTCTGAATCTGTGTCACCGCTCCGCAGTTTCCAAGAGGGAATTCTCTACTTGGCAGTTAAGGGGGAGCCTGTTTTATGCCAATTCTTCTTGGAAACCTCAGTATATTAATAACAGTACAACCTGACAACTTACAAACAGACTTAATTTTAAAAAGTGTATTACTCTATCAGCACAGAAATCAATGCTCTTCATTCAGCAGATACGCTGTATTAATCAAGAGTGAGTTTATGACTGTAGCAGAGCACAGGGCAGTACCACACTATTTACACTTGCCAAGTATTAAATGGCAGGACGGTCACTGCTCTCCTTCCCTGCACTTACATGCTTTTTAAAAGGCGTTTTGAAACATGAGGATTAAAAATATTACATGCATTGTTATTTAAGAAAAAAAAAATCTATCATTTGTAATTGTATTTTAGAGGTACACGAAGTCAAACGACTAAACACACCACGGTGGCTTAAATGGTGACCCAAGTAGCAGCAAGAAATGTAAGGAAGAGAGGTAAGACGTGGAACTAATCATACCTTCCTAGCCACGACTGGAAAAATTGCATTCTTTGTTTTACTGAACAAATGCAAGCCAGTGTCCAAAGAAGCGTTAGCAGAGTCAGCATGGCGTATTTGAGGCAACACACACAGAAAAACAACAGGTTTTCCAACGACATGAAGAGCTAAAGACTTAACGTTGGCAGCTGAATTGCCATCACAAGGTTTATCTGTGCATCACTGTTCCCCCAACCAGTGACTTCAGTGTACACTGAAGCAAACCATGGGACAGCTTATACAGAGCCCTGTTTTCTGGCCCTACTGGGCTACAAAGATATCACTGAAAGTTTTGCAAACCCAAGTGCCTCATTTAGCTAAACACATAATAAAGGTAACACTCCAGACATTGTCAGACCACGCAAACACTTCTGAAGTAAATGGAAGCTGCAGGTGCTCAACATCTTTAAAAAATATGCTCATTCAGTACATGCAAATGTCAGACCAGCATTATTTTTTTTTTTAAAGGCAGTCAGGTTTGAACAAAGTCTTTTATAACTTCACTTTCACAGAAATCAATCGGCTCACTAGAAACACGCCCAATGATACTGCATTCTAAGCTGAAAAAGCCAAACTACGATGCTACTTTGTTTAAAAACTGCTTTTATGCCCAGGCCATTCCCTGAGATCTAAGCAAGGCAACCACTTATTTTTTTTAAGCAAGCGTTTTATCCAACAGCTTGCCAAGCTCCATATAAACACATTTTACTATTTCATAAAGTTTATATGCCAAGTTTGTGAAACATGAAGTGACAGGCTCTTGGTGGAATTTCTGCAGAGCTACAAGGTTCTTACTGCTCTCAGCCCCCCGAGACTGCAAATTGGCTATGAGAAGCAAGGAGCCAGGATCTTTTCAGTTGATGCAAGAATGCTTCGCAAGCCTGAAATACTGAAACAGCCTCTCTATGATCAAGCAAAGAAGAATCCCTTTACATGTGCCTCAAAATCCCCCAGTGATCAGCACGCTATACATATGCATCACTGCTGGGTTTCTGTTGTTGCTAGCACTGTAAAAAGTTTCTCTCTGTCATTAAGAAAGCCTTAAATTTAAGAACTAATGGTAAATATGTTCTGCTGCAAAGAGATGCAATAGGTAGTTTTATTTTGTAAAGAAATAATCTCATCTTAATGACTTAGGTTGTTCTCTACATTTTTCTAATGTCACATCTCCTTTTCACCCTAGGTCCAAATGTCAAACAAAAGCAATTGAATGTGAGCTTACTGATGTTGTAAAAAAGGGGATAATAACCCAGTTACCATGCTTCATGAAGTAAAACCTCTGACTACAAAGTACGGTTGCATTTGTGCCACATTATATTGCGTTTCAATCAAATTGACTGCCTACTGAAACTTTTCACTTCCTTTTACCAGCAGGCCTGCTTACAGCTCAAGGTCTCTCTTTGCTAATCAGTCAGAGCTGGAGATAATCTATCTTTTTGCCATGTTTACTTTTGGTTTATTACCCATTTGTATTTCCGATACTATTATTTATGGATTTTGCAGACACGTTTTTCATGGTGCTTCGCAGCATCCATGCAATCCTTGCAACAACGTTCCATTACTACTGAAGGAAACGAAGCAGATGAGTTATAGACAGACATCAAACTTCTTTTTTTTTTTGGTCATAGAAAGAGCAGACTCAAAGTTCCAACTCTTTTATGTTTTTCTTACAACAGTAATTTCAGGATTACTGCATCAGAGAGCAGGAGCAAATATTTTATCAGCATTCTGGGTATTCTTACCACAGCTTCCTCTCACATAACTTTTCTGTATGTCATATATTCACACGTGAATAAATAACTTAAAATTATAAAACCAGGAGGAGTAAAGCCACCAATATTAGGAAAACTCGGGGGCACCTGTAATACCCAGAAAGGCTTTAAAGTTTCTTTTTAAAGTTCGTTAGGTGTAATTATTTATTCTTTTTTAGGCTGCAGAGCCAGACACAGTCAGAACCAGAGCTCCTCTCTCAGCGTTCAGTCCTCCACCTGCGCTGGCAGGCTAACTTTCAGCTACTGCTCTCTTTGATACTGCGTCTTCTGGGCTGAGAGCTTAGAGTTGAGACACGAATGAATGTGATTTACTCCTATAAAAAGAAGGAAAAAACGAAGGATATCTGGGTTTTTCTATTCAGTTAAGGCAGCAATCCCGCAATCACTTCCAGAACTTGGTAAAAAGGAAAGAAAAGGGTGGGTTTTTCATAACGAGGGTTTTTTTCTTTCGAAGTTTCGCTTGCCTAGAGTGGAAGACTCTTCAGCCTTCTGCCTAAAGGGTATGGTGTGAGACCTGCAAGCATATTTTGTAAGCCTTTACCCAGCAGGCTGGCACGCTCCTGCAGACCCGGCCTGTGCCACCACAACGCACGGGGAGCGCTGGGCGGCTGCTGGGGAGCAGCGGGGTCATCGCCAGCCCCTGCACCTGCACGGGGGGGACCTTCCTCAGGCCTCAACACCGCTCCTTGAATCCCACAGCAGCAGGAGCAGGAGGAGGAGGATGAAAAGGGGAAGGGTGGGGGGGGTGATGAGGGAAGCCGTCGGCCTTACCCGTCCTTGCGGCGGGCCTTGTAGACGTGCCCGTAGGTGCCCCTGCCCACTTTGCAGCCCTCGTACTCGAAGAGGTCCTCCACCCGCTCCCGCTCGGCCGCCAGCTTCGACTTGAACTCGTAGTCCATGTCTCGCCCATAGGGGGTGACGGGGGGTGTGGGGGGCGTGAGGCCGGATCAGCACCCCCGGCCGGCGGAGCCCCCTCCGGCCGCCGCCATGAGGTGAGGGGTGAGGGGCGCGAGGGGGGTTTTGGGGCGGGGGGGGCGTTTGGGGTTTGTTTTTGTTTTTGTTTTGGTTTTCGGGGCTCTGAGGCAGGCGGGCGGGGGGGGGAGGGAGGGACGGGGGGGGAGGGGGCGCGCGCCGCTGCCGCCGCCCGCCCGCTTCAAGTCGGCTCCCGGCGGCGCGGCGCTGGGGGGTGCCGGGAGTCGTAGTGCGGCGGCGGGTGGCGGCCCCGGAGGCTGCGGGCGGGATCTCAGCGCGGCGGGACTACAAGTCCCAGCGTGCCCCGCGCCGCCTCCCCCTTCTTGCCTCCCCTCCTCTCTCTCCTCCCGCCGGGGAGCGCGGCCGCTTGTTTACCCCGCCGGCTGTCACTCAAGGCGTTAGCCCCGCCCCTGCTGCTGGATGCCGGCCTCTGATTGGCCGGTCCGGCCCCGCCCCCGCTGCCTGGCCTCGGGGAAAGGCTTCGCGCCCGCAGCCCGGGCCCGGGGGCGGGGCGGCCGTTGGGGCCGTTACGGCCGTTGGGCCGCGCGCGGGGCGAGGGTGGGGGGTGCTGAGGGGAGCGGAGCGGGCTCACAGGGATCACACAGGTACCCCCGCCTAGCCCTGAGGTGCGGTGGTTGGGGATCCTGACAAAAAGCTGCAGTAGCAGCCCCAGAGATGTGAGGCAAAGGTGGTGCTACCTCCAGGTTCACGTGTATAAATCACATTCCGGTCAATTATCCCTTTTAAAATCACATTTCAGTCAGTTATCCCCTTTAAAATCACATTTCTGTCAGTTATCCCCTTTAAAATCGCATTTCAGTCAGTTATCCCAGGAGCTTGGTTCCCAAACGACGCTGTGAGGTGATTATTTCTTCCCAAAGGCCACGGCTGGTCCAATGTGCCGGGTATCCAACAGTCAAAATTCTCAGAAAACCGTCACTCCGTCACCAAAGCAATATCGCCCAGAGAACCACAAGTACTTTTTATTTTTTTCAGCTGCAGATACGGATCTTTCTGAATGAGACCAGATCATGAGCTGGCAATTATCCTACACGCAGCGGAGAGAGGGCCATTTATCTTTCAGCATCGACGTTAAAGACGTTTGCTAAAATTAGAGCTAACCGTTTTAATTTTGCAAAGCTCTCACATCTTTAGTCACCTGGTAATCAAATCCAGCGTTGAGAAGAAAGGGACACAGCCTCACAAGGACACGCATGCAGCTGCTGCAGGAGGTTGTGCTACCTCGCTGCATTAATCCAGACTTAAAGTCACAAGGATTAAGGAATACCTGGCTGTCGGTAATAACAAACTCTACGAGTTCCCGTTGCCCTCAGAGTAATAATTGTTATTTCCCGTTTTCATCAGTGACATTTGTTTTCTTCTCTTTCCATTACACCATGCAGGTGAAAGTCTGCCTCTTGCTATAACTCGCTGCATGCCCGCAGCCCTGGGTAAGAGGGCTGACAGCACAGCCGGGTACAGAAGGTCAGCCAGGCTGACATTTGTAAGCCAAGGCAGCTTAATTCCCCTCTAACCTGTACTGTACCTGGCTGCCTAGTGCTGCAAATAGTTTTATCCTTTCTTCCATAAATCGATTATGCGTTGGCAGTCAATATTCTGCCACTCACTACTGCTCCTGGGAGCCTGCCCGATAGAAACCTTTCTGCCAGGTGGAAGCCTTTTTTTAAATTCCAAGCCTGTGTTTCCTTCTGACCAGCCTACATCCATCTTTTCTTCCCAGGCAAATAGTGCCCTGAAGTAGCCTTTCCCTCTCTCCTGTGCGTGTCCCCTGCCAAAAGTATTTATAGACAGCAATCTCATCCCCTCACAGCCTTTATATTGCTGGACTAAACTAGCCGTGCTCTTCTCATTCCCCTCATTAACTCCCAACCCCTCTTCTTTTGATCATCCTGTTGTTTTTTCCAATCCTGCGGAGGAGAATTTCCATTAAACATTTCATGCAGCAAGCATGCCGTTGCATCTTAAACATGTGTTTTGTTAGAATCTGAAATGACCTTATGAATTCTCATAGAAACGGTTAAATAAAATGCATTCCTTTTTATTTAGAAATTCGTTTTCACTCGTTTTTCCCTTCAGAGGTTTGTGTCTGTTTAATAATAACACAAAATGGGACTCCCTCTGATCACTGTACCAAAAATGGGAGTTTGGTTTATTCTAAGCAAGATACGTAAAAAGCAAAATGTTATCTCTGCTCCTGTTCCTTCCCTCATGGCATAGCCTTGCTTCCAGTTTCTGAAACCTCCTGCTGAAAATGTAGATGAACATGTAAAGCACAGCATCAGCGCAGCATCCGCCAAGATTAGGCCAGCTCAGAGGGCGGCAGCAACAAGGGTACCTTCTGCAGAGGTTTTATCGGGTCACGGTTAGAGGACAGGCACATTTGTCTCGTCTGGACGTTGGGGCACATGGCAGGATTCTGCCTCAGCTCCATACAGACGGAGAATGTCATTGAGAGCAGCTGCCTGGCACCGAGCAGCCCTGCACACATCCTGCGGGCAGCAGCAAAAGGGGTGAGGGAGGGAGAGCGGTGCTGTGGCACGGCCGCTGCTCTTCCTAGCATGGTCATACACACGATGATATGCATCTTGTAGCATTCACTTTTTTAAAAAGTCCAGCAAACCAGACTTTGGCTGAGTGGGAAATACGGGTGGGAGGTAAAAAGGCCCAGATTGTGTTTCTCCCCTACTTGGAAAGTCTCCAGTTACTGAACTCCGCTTTGCCACTGATCCTGTTCGGAGAGACTGTACGCCCGTGGAATGGCTGTTGCTTATTCAAAAGGTTTTTCTGCCATTCTTGACTCTGGTTTATTATCATGTTATCCACTCCTAATCAGAAGACAAACAAATGTAACACTAAACATATAATGCCCTACCCTTTGCTGATTGTGCTGATGCAGAAATTCTGAAAAGCCACATCAAAAATAGAAAGGGAGAGGCTTGCAGACTGCAAGCATGGTTCCTGAGGGGCTGACAGCCTAACTGAAGATGCAGGGCTGTTCCTTGGTAGAATCACCATTTCCTCACAGTCTCGAGTTGCTGAGGCTAAGGAGTGCCCAGGCTGCTGGACAGGAAAGGTGTTTGAAGCAAGTCTGAAAGACGAGGAATTGCCTATCTTCACAAAGACCCTATTTGGTTCTCCCAAACAGATAAGACATGCATTTCTAGTGAAAATACTACTACTAATAATAAATACAATACAATACAATACAATACAATACAATACAATAAAAAGCAGAATTTGTTTTTTAACACTTCACCATCAAGAAAGTAGCACAGACCATTTGTCTTCTTTTATTCATATTGCCTTGCACATAAAATATGCTTTTATTATTATTATTTTATCTCCAGCTTGTTTTAAATTCATTCCCTGTCTTAATTAGTTGCATTTTCTGTCTTAGCCAATCTCTTACTCTTCCCTGTTTGTGTATTGGTGAGACCAAAAAAATAGTTTTAAAATTTTTTTTCTAAGCTACATCTGGAAGTGGTTGCACCTTTTGTTAACTTACTCTTTGTAGATTTTACTTGTTAATCCAGTAAGAAATCTTGAATTCTTAGGGATCAGGGACAGATTTATTCCAGTAGGTCTTGAGTGGGCCATTAATAAATGTACAGAAGCAATGTTTACTGATGTCAGTCAGATTGGAGTTGATGTTGCTTCTCATGCATCTCAGAAGCCAAAGGAAATAAGAGTAGAGAAAATTCAAAAGGAAGAGCAGTCTCACATGAACTGCATTGTTATTTCTACAGAAGCAGAGAAAAACTAATGGTTCTGCTCAAAAAAGTGTAGAAATATACTTGGGAATTTCAAACATGTTGGCATGAAAGTGATGAGGCTAATTAGAGGGACAGCATGTCAGAGGATTTTTGGTAGGCATAGCTTAAGAAGTCTTTGGCTGTCAGTTTCGGTGTTTTCATTCTCAGTAAAACTCTTTATTTTGGAACCTTTTATGTCAATTAACTTCAAAACACATATAATAAAAGTATTAACTTACACATTTAGAAAATAAAGAACTAAGGTGCCCTATCAAGATTTTGCAGTAAATCTAGAGAGCGTGCTAGGAATGGAAGATGGGAGTCCTGACTTCTGCTCCCATTATATAATTATTTGGCTAGCTCTGTGTTTTTTACATTTATTATATTTTTTTTTTACAGTACCTTAATCCAAATACTACTAAAATAGAAACCTTGTGTTGCTTTTCTTGAGTATAATCCAAGAAACTGGTCTCAAAATAGGCAGTGCTGCTTTTAACGATTATTTTTTTTCTTGAGAAAAAGAGAGCCCTCACAAAAAAAAGAAAACTCACAAAAGCTGCTCCCTACCTTCTCTTTACAGACAGGCAAGACTGAACAGTCACCTCACAGAGACAAAGGACTTCAGTGTTCATCAGGTAAAAAAGTGGGACACAGCAAAGTAAAAGCAAAATAATTCTGCGTTGCGTGGTGTGCGGCTACGGCTCAGCCTTAGCACCGATCCACCAGTGTCTTAGCACATCCACTCCCTCCCTTTGAATTGTGAAGCAAGATGTGTGAGCTTATTTCAGCTGGAAACACAGCGTGCAGTACAGCGTGCTTGCTTCAGTTTGTCAGAAAAGGCAAAAAGTCAGAGGAAACAACTAACTAATGCTCACATAGTGAGCCTGATAGCTGGTTTAGCGGGCCAGTCATTACCACCAGCATAAAGCAGGGATTTAGAGAAAAGCCTTGAACTCTAAAAACGTAGAATCTGCACTTCGTTACAGAGAAAGCAGAAACTCTAATTCTGAATATAGCAGCCAAAAATTTGGAACTGGGGGCCGTGCAGTCAGCGTAACTGAGTTTCCTCGGCTTTTCCAACCTACTTGCATCATTGGCATTCCAGCACCACCACACTCCACCTACTACTGCTTCCCTGACGTTGGCTACAGTTTTCAGAAGCTAAAATAATTCTAAACTTCCCTGTAGAATACACCCTTTTTTTTTTTTTTCCCATTAACTGGGAAAGATGGTAGTGTATAATGAAAAATGAAAGATGTTTCTTTAATTTCTAGGGAAAATACACTTGAAGAATACAGAGGAACACATCAAAACAGCCCAGTGGGACAGCTTTCTGAAGTTAAATCTGTTCCCACAGAAGAAACAGAGCTCTGGTAAACAACCTCAGCCTTATCGAGTTCTATTATTCCAGCACAATGGTAACTGCTATGTTTTCAGCTGTTTCCACTGAGTATAATAAGTTTTATACCAATTTACTGGGAGAACCCATCCCATGGATGGACAGCTATGGCTATGGAATGGTATTTCATGACAAGTCTACAGGACAGTATTTCATTCTTGTATTCCTTTTGCCCATATAGATTTTGATGCCCTTATTACAGCAAATGTTCAAAAGGGCTTTAATAAATCGTCAACAGATCAGGAGACACTGGACAAGACTGGACAAGACAAAACAGAATTCAGTTGTACCGAGTGAGATTTATGTACAGGAAAATGTCTGAGAAGTAAAGATATTTACATAGTGGAATTTTCTGGAGATACTCTTTAATCATTAGATTAAAATCACTAGATGTTTTTTAGAAAAGATTAGATAAGCCTCAGACAGAAATCTTGTAGGTAATGAAGATCAATATGATGAGAGGAGAGGGGATAGAAATTAGATTAGTGTTGTGTTTTTTTTTGTCTTGCCCTATTTTTCTATGACACTCTGATTCTATACGATGTACAAGGGGTGTCATCTCATGGACAAAGTTAAAAGACAAAAGACAGAAGTAAACCCCGAGTTTCCATGGCAGAAAGGTTATCCCATATGGATTGCTTGAAGCTGAGTCATTCACAGCTCCTAAAAGAACTGGGAAAAGGAATGAGCGATGATGTGACAACATTTGAAGAACATATATAATACCTCAAATCGAAACCTGATCGAAAAGTGCTGCAAGAGAGACTCCCATGAGTAGTGGTAGCTGAAAAGCACTGTTCCAAAGTGCAGTGTAATGCACACGAGGGGGAAAAAAAACTTGCATACATGATGATGGGCGCTAGAATAGCTAGTATCAGTCAGGAAAAGTCTTGAAGTACAGAAGGGGTTATGGCTATGTGCTGGCCCTTTTCTTGTTCTCTTTCATTTTTTGCTAGATGGACCATTGCTGTGGACTACTACAGCTGTTCTTATCATCCAGTGAGGAGACACTAAATAAATTTGGACCAATTAGATGGGGAAATAAATGAATAGGGGGTGAAGAATGATCAAAAACTAAACTGATTTGAAAGAGGCTGGATAAACTTGGTTAATAGAGTGTCATTTGTGGCTATTATATACAGTGTTTCAGGGGAAACTACCAGCTCCAAACAACTCAGCTTCCTAGAAGCTGAGAAGATAAACTGGCAGAAGAAACCAGCAATGCAAGAGCTGATTCCATCCTTCCTGGGGATAATTTCAAGCTTTGTGAAACTATGGTGGAATTAGACTTAAGAAAACCAGGGAAGGACTCCTATGTTGAGAGCCTTGATATGTTACTGAAGTTCTGTTTTTCTTCTCTGATTTTATTATTACCTAATTCTGTCCATGTCCCAGTGGCAAAATCCTAAAGTATCTAGGTTCCAGAACTATATTTACAGCCAAATAGGAAATGACAGAATCGGCTGCTGGCTCATTATGCTGAAGAAATTGAGCAACTCTGAATTTTAGAAGAAAGCCAGATGGTCTAATGGGAGCAGGAGCCAGAAGTGCCATTGCCATGCATTCTTTGATTTCTTTTGGGTCCAGGCTTTCTGTCTGTAATACAAGGCAGCGTACATCCCCATCTTTAGGAAAACTTTTGGATTAAAGTTCTACCAAATCTGTCACTTAGCTTTACTAGCTATGTCCGTCCAGCAGTAAAGAATTTGCAGTAGGCCAAATGTTAATCAGCCTGAAAAAAAACAACAGACCAAGATCTTTTTACATTTCAGACTGTGATCTTGCCACTACAGCTCAGTAAAAAATGATTCTCCCGAGACAAATGCCTATTGCTAATGCCATGGAGAAAGAAGACTAAGCACCAACTATTGGAGCAAAACTACTTCTTACAGCCTTGCCACCAGACCCTCAACATTTTATTGTCAAACACCTGCAGTGCTTCTCACAGGGTGAGCTATCAAGGAGAAGGTGACTGGTGACTTTGGCCTGACAGAAGGTGCAGAAACAAGGGTTTATGCAAGAGAAGAGCGGGACTGATGCATCCAGACACAATAACTAGTGCAGAACATGAAGACTTTTACAGCAGAGTAAGACTTCTCACCTTATCACCAGTTTCTGTGTTGTTCTTACTCCATTGTACGCCTAGAGACTCAGCTAAATTAAAGAAACCAAAGGTATTAAGTTAACGCATCTAAACTGAAGCACCTTCAAATGCCACATTAATGCTTCTTCGATGTATAATATGCCTTTGGTTCTCCATTGCCTGTGAGAGCGTACTGCATCTGGCTGGGATGGAGTTAATTTTCTTCACAGCAGCCCGTACAGTGCTGTGCTTCAGATCTGTGACCAAAACACGTTGATAACAAACCCAAGTTTTGGCCACTGCTGAGCAGTGTTTGCCCAGCATCAAGGCTCTCTCTGTTTCTCACTCTGCCCCCGCAGCGAGTAGGCTGACCCAAAGTGTCCAAAGAGATATTCTGTGCTGTATAACGCTGTTCCCAGGAACAAAACTGGGGGTGGGGGGGTGGGGGGGGGGTGGAGTTTTTGGAAAGTAGCCATTGCTCATCAGTCCTTGACTTCTTAAATATCTTTATCTCGACCCACAAGTTTTTCTCACTTTTGCCCTTTTAATTCTCTTCCTTCATCCCACTTGGAGCAGTGAGCAAGCAACTGGGTGTGGGTTGAGCTGCTGGCTGGGGTCAGCCCACCACAAACAGGCAAGGTCTGGGAAAGAACGAGGAGTGGGATGCATCCTACCTGGCTAATTGCCTTGCCTGGCATTTGTCTTCTGCAGTGTGTATGGAAACTACCAAATCCCTATTACTAGGACTGCGTGGAAGAAGTCACAGCTCCTTTTCTCCTTCCTATCTATCCTATCAGTGAGAAGACAGTATGGATCTCTAAAGGATTCACAAATTGGTGGTTGTGTGAAACAAGCAAACAAAACGGGCTCAGTACAGAAGTTCCTGCAAACTCTGTATGTCCAGCTGTTAGAAAATGCAAACTCTGGAGCTGCTGAATCTGGAATTACCCTGTTGCCTCGAACCTAGCTCTCCTCTGCACTGAAATGTCTGTAACAGACAAGTCTATAAAACCATTTTGCAGTTTGACCACTCCTTTGGCATTGACATGATGCCAAGTGAACTTAAGCTTTCATTTTTCGTATTCCTCATCTGAAACTTTGATACTGCACAACCACACGCTGACCCCATGACAGCCAAACTACAGTCTTCCTCTGATGGAAGTTTTCTTATCATTGGGTAACCTTGCTGCAGAATAGGCTCCTCCACCAACTCTGTGACTCCTGATGAACTGTAGGAATTTGGATTCTATGGGTGTGTGAGCTTTTCAGGACTGTCTGGAAGAAAAAAGAAAAAAAAAAAAGTGGAAAGTTTGGGGATTTTTTGGTTTTTGTTTGATCATTTGTTTGCTTTTTTGCTTTTTTTTTTTTGTTTGTTTGTTTGGTTGTTTGTATATTTTTCCTCAAAATGGAGAAACTTAAGTTTTAAACTTTTAAGTTTTAAAGAGTGAAAATCATACACTGAGCTTCGACAGTAACTTATTGGAACTGCATTTACCCCGGAGTCTATACAGAACCTCATTTTTACCATTGGAAAACTCCATTATTCATGTTTTGGCTCTCGTGTCTGTAAAGAGGAACAATAGACATCATTAACAGGACTGTGTAAATTTAATTGATAACCTTGGACAGAAAGCTCAAAGCTCAAAGTATTAACCATTATTTTATTGCCATTACTTAATTATGGCAAGGCGATAGTTGGGAGTGCAAACAGGACTTCCTTCATATAACCTGTAAGTCCACCACTTACAGTGGATTCTTTGGTCTAAGGACAAAGGAACTGAAACTTTATAGCTTATTAGAAATAAACTATTATTGTTATAGAAATAAACTACATTGTTATAGAAACAAGCATGGCTTGACATAGAAATTAGTGCGTTGTCAGTGGTAACAAACAGTAACAGTAGGCAAGTTTCGAGTTAGTGAATTGCTCATGAGAGGTCCCAAATATTGCATTGTATTGAGCTGGATGCTTATGGAAAAGAAGATAAAGTAATAGAAATAACACGTCTTTAAATGGTGACCATTGTGCTGGTTCTTTTTAGGTGTCAAGCCCCTTCAGTCTGTTTAATTTAATCGTGCTGCTTTTGACTCGGGTCATTCCCATTCAAGTTGTGCTGTTACAAAGAGGCAGAAACGAGACCTTGCCTTCTCTTC